CAATTCTTCTATTATACTAATCAATAGTTTTTAGATTTCTATCGCAAGGTTACACTTTCATAAATATCTTACAATGTCAAACGTAATAATTTATTAATTTTTTTATCTATAACTGGCTAAAAATAAATTTACACTTTCATGATATTAATTTCTAAGTTATAACTGCATTGATGTATATTAAATAGAAATTTATGTAGAGAAAAGTTATGTAGTCAAAAATTGAGTTAAGCAACATATAAAAATTTTCACTTGTTTATTGTTTCAAATTACAAGGAATATATGTATTATGTAACTATCTTTTCCGTTATTGTAAATAATATAATTTAATTATTATAAATGAATTGTTCAAACTATGAAATAATGCTTGGAAGTTCAATCACTGATTGAATTGCTGTAAATAAATAGTTAAATTTGTTAAATAATATACAAAAATATAATCGAAATGCATTATTTTACAATTTGAATAATTCATTTGAAACAGTTAAATTTTTAACAAATTACTTTATTTTTACAATATTTCTAGACACTATTTTATAATTTTCACAATTTTTATATTACGATTAAACAATTAAATTAATCACTTCTTTCAATAAGTCAAAGTCATTTCTCTTAAGTATTTAAAAATTTTAAATAACACTTAGAAACATTACGAGAGAGAATATATTGTTCAATTGTTACAAATAAATTATTAGAAATTTTAAATAATGTTTAAACAAATAGAATATTCAAAAATATTATTTAAAATTTACTCCTAAATTTTGGTCGATGTGCACACGACGAAAGTTTGATTGGTAATGAACCTCCGTGCCGTTCAAGGATAATGTATATTTCGGTCGTCAGTAATCCAGAGTTGATAATTTTTTTCCAAATTTTCTAAATTTGGTTGATGTGCCCACGACGGAAATTTAATTGCTAATGACCTCTTGTCTCCATATCGATCGACATTAATCTGACCTTTCGGTCGTTAATGATGCGATACAGATAATGAAAATTTCTTAAAAAAGGAATTAGTGACTCGATTACTACAAATCATTAATTGAAAATTTTAAATAGAACTTAGAAATGTTATAGATGAGAATTTATTGTTTAATTGTTAGAAAAAATAAATTATTAGAAATATCAGATAACATTTAAAAAATTATAAAGGAGAATTTATTGTTACAAATAAATTATTAGAACTATTGGATAATGTTTAAACAATTATAAAAGAGAATTTATTGTTTAGTTGTTGGAAATAAATTATTTGAAATATTAGATAATGTTTAAACAATATAAAGAATATTGAGAAACTCACTTCTAAATTTTGGTCGATGTGCACACGACGAAAGTTCAATTGGTAATGAGCCTCTGTACCGCTGAAGGTTAATTTAATGTTTCGATCGTCAGTGACCCGGAATTGTTGATAATTTTTTTTTAGTATTTCGAGAAATAATTCTTCTGTTATACTAATCAATAGTTTTTAGATTTCTATCGTAAGGTTACACTTTCATAAATATCTTACAATGTCAAACGTAATAATTTATTAATTTTTTTGTCTATAACTGGCTAAAAATAAATTTACACTTTCATGATATTAATTTTTAAGTTATAACTGCATTGATGTACATTAAATAGAAATTTATGTAGAGAAAAGTTATTTAATAAAAAATCAAGTTAACTTAGAGAATGAAATAATTAGTTTAATTGTTTAATCGTAATATAGAAGTGAAAATTACTAAATAATGTCTAGAAATATTGTAAAAGTAATTTAATTGTTTCAGACGAATTATTCAAACTGTAATGCATTTCGATGATATTTTTGTATGTTATTTAACAATTTTAACCATTTACTTATAATAATTGAATATAAGTATTATTTCATAGTTTGAATAATTCATTTATAATAATTGAATTATTTTATTTACAATAACGGAAGAGAGAGTTACATAATACATATATTTCTTGTCTGAAACAATAAACGATCGAAAATTTCTATACATTGCGCTTATATGTTATTCTGAAGCGATAATCACTGCTTAAAGTTATTTCTCTTAAGTACATTGTTTAAGATTCTTATAAATTATTAATTATAAATTTTAAATAATACTTAAGTAATATTACAGAAGGGAATTTATTGCCTAATTGTTGCTAAATTATTAGAAATATTAAATAATATTTTAAACAATTAGAATATTCAGAAATATTATTTAAAAATTCACTTCGAAAGTTTAATTAATGTACACTCGATGAAGGTTCAACTTATAATTACCTTTTTCCTGCTTAACTTTCAGGTAGAGTCAGAAATGCGCAGTAGATGATAATCTTTGTCAATACTTCCAAAAACACTTTTTCTATTCAGTCATCAGTAATTTTACAGTTTCTCTTGTTTTGTAGCCTTCATTAATTTAAGGCAACAATAAATACCGTATAATTTCTATATTTTTTAGTAATAAAAAAATTTTTACAAAGTGGAACTACGTTTGCACGGTTAGTTTTTAACTTGTAATTCTCTTGACATATGCTAATTTGTAAGTAAGACATATAATACAAATTTATGTTAGAAAATAATCATATTCGAAACAAAAACTAAATTGGTCGTCTTTTAAGAATAGCTATGCAAATAAAAAAGCGCTCACGTTTAATTCAATAATTTTCGATGTAGATGTAACGTTACACAGACGAAGTCGGTTGAGTTCGGGCGGATTTTAAAATATACGAAAAAACCTCCTATTTTGCTAGTTTAACTATTTCGTCGAGTCGACGGACAGACAACAGAAATGTGGCAGTCATATGAGACTTTTTGGCACCTACGCTTTCGTCAAGAAATCCGAAACTTGTACATGCTCCTTTTAACTCGCTTTTTATCAATACGCACAATATCGATTTTTTCACAGTGATTTTTTACTATGTCGGTATTTCAGAGCATGGGACACGAAATCTCGTAAGATGTTCGGTCTATTCGTATATCTTGTCTGTGCCAGTACATTGTCGGACTTTGGTGTTTTTAGCCTCAATATAAAATTCTTTAAAAAGTTCTGTGCTATCATTTGGAAATAGTTTTCCCCGTCAAGCCTGTGACAGAATTTATATCGTATATTTAATTTGTTATTTATTTTATTATATCATTAGTTATGTTATATTTTAATTACAAATATGATTTCCTATTTTTTATTGTATACATATTCGTAGTATGGGTTATTTATCGTTATTCGAGGAGGAATTATAACGATGCGAAATACAGGAATTACAAATTTGAAGTAATTAAAAAGTAACAAGTACGAAAACATGGCGTCCATGTAAATTTTCACAGGAAAATTTCACAGGCGATGCATTGCAATAAATTTCGAATGAAATGTATAGACGGAATGAAATAACAAAAATTTATTAATAAGCACAAATTTTTCCAGCAGATCACTTACATTATTAATTACATTATTAATCCATTGAATAATTCTTTTTGTTTTAAGATGCATGTCGATTATTCTCAATTCACGTATTAAAATATTATTTCATTAGCATCTTCTCTATTTTTATTAGTCACGGGATACCGTGGATATGATGTGTAATAATTTCACCAAAGATATCTCATAGGCTGTTTTCAAAAATTTCTTAAATTTTAACGAGTTTTCAATTTTATACTTATTAGAAGTAAAATTTTGGGAACTTTTTACGTCTGAAAAGTTATTTCTTAATCGCGACGATTACTAAACTTTCCCTCCTTGAGCTTCTCTGTTAAGACAAATAACTCGCGCTTCTTCAATTGTTGCAGGGACTCTTTCGTCCTTTCTTTTTCTCACCATTTTCTCTTGATAAGTTCGAAGACCTTTCGTCTTAGTCGCTCGCAAGAGAAAGGAAAGTAATTACAGATAGGAAATTGCTTGAGGAAAATGAGCTTTCTATTGGGTCCTATGATGGATTGACGTTTAAATCAGAAATAATTATTTGTCGCTTAGATGGTGAATAAATTTGCTTCGCTCAGGCTGCAGAGTTACGAAATTTTTGTTACTTGGAACCTTTAGAATCTTTCTTAACTCGTTGTTTTAAGTTTTTAATTCGTCATATAATACAGATCTTTGATTTTTCTAAAAAGGATTCTTTGAGATAAATTGGTAATCAATTAATTTACACAACCGCTTTTGTTTTGAACAATTTTCTTTTTTATCGAATAGTCTTTCAGAAAGGATCAACAAAACTTCTAGTAGATTCCACTTCCATACCTCAATTCAATTTATTAACACTTTTGATTCAGACATCAATTTTAAATACGGTTACACCGCTTAATACGTATTAATGGAATATTAAACGAAGAAGAAAAAGAAGAAAAAAAAAAAGTTTGTAAAATATATCGCGTAGAATAGATCGGTGAACGCTGTTTTATACTCGTCGAGAACGATGCATTCAGTCGACGCGCATTCGACACCGCTTCGTTTTTTCCTCGTGTTACAATTCGATGTATAACTTCTCGATGAAAAACTTGAGACATTCACAAGCTATCGCGGACACAATTGTATCGTGTGACCAAACATGCATTGAATGCGCCGATGGTAGGGATTTCTGCAGTATATAAATGAAGTGTTCCCGTTCGATTGTTCGTCTGTTTCGCGAGATTCAACTAAAACTTGCATCGGTTTCAACCAACGAAACGTCGTCGAACCGCAATGGATCGTTTCCTGCTCTTCGTCCTGTTGTTCACCGTTCTGCCGTTCACAATGTAAGAATTCATTTTTATATTCGTTTGCTACTTCAAACGTTCTACTTCATAATGTCGAGAGAATTGTAAAGACGATCGTATCGAAATCATCCTGAGGCTATTGAAAGATAATTGGTTTTATTTTAATATCAGCATTTCGAAAGTTTCGATCGACAGACGTCAATTTTTAAAACTGAACGACTGTTTAATTCTGAATTTTTGTAGTCAAGAAGTTGTCGAAGAGGGTGCCTGCAAATGCGCCGTGTTTTCCAGGCAAATACCAAAATCAATCATTGAACGCGCTCTTCTATATAACGTCACGTGCGATGGCGAAGGGGAGGAGAAGTGTCAACAATTGTGCGTTGCTCTGGTCAGTGAGTAAATAATCGTGTACATATGTTCGATAGTATGGCCGATAAATGTCAAAAAGATATAGGTAATTCTGTGCAGGCTGAGAGCGCGAGAGACAAAGCGCCGCAGATGATTTGCGAGAAGTTAAATACACACGTGGAGAATCTTCACGTGAGTGAAAATTTGAAAGATCAAATTTAAGAAGGAAACTCAGATTTGACATCCTAACTGACAGTGATGCGTGACTGTGAAATATTTTTTAGGTGGCGGTGTACGCGAGAGTGTGTAACGCGACCAGCTGGAAATTCACTGGTTTGAAAGCTGCAGATCCAATTTGTTGCCACGAGGGGAAGAATATAGCCTGCGAGGAACCACTGCCGATCATCGATAGTTAAACGAATTCATTCGCAATTATTCCGTAATACGTTAGTTGGTTCATTATGAAATTTTACGTAATAATTTGTGCAAGATTTATTATTTTGTTGCTAATTAATAAATTTGTTCCCTGTCGCCTGAGCCATTCGCTGTCGTTGCACATGAATGTTTTTAATCGTAATTGATTGAATTATGAAAATAAACTCGAAAATCAGATGTAAATTAAATTGATTGATTTTAGCTTCGGTGGTTAGTCGCGTTAAGTGGAAATTCAACAGAAATTACTTGCTGTCGCGTCGTGTCTGAAATCATTTTTTGAACAGATACAGATAGAATAAGAGACGCTTTTACGACTAATTCGGATTAATATCGCTATTATTTATGCCTTCTGAATATATCCAAATGAAGAATTGCGTTCTAACGTTTCGCCACTGAGTGGTGAATGTGTTCTCAAAACTCTGAAGCAGCTAGCTGCGCTATTGGCGAAACGTCGAGGGTACAATTCCTTTTGGACACGCTTCAAGCCCGGAAGCCGCAAATAATAATAATGATAATCTCAGTCGACGATTTCGTTTCTTTCGGGATCTTTGATTGCAATGGACGTCGAGTATCAAAGACTCCTCTAAGAACAAAGTCGTCTTAAAAGCATTAAACGCTTCCTCTCCGCTCTATACCTTTTCGCTCGAATCTTGAAGATCTTCGGAGCGATTATGCCCGTACGCAGACCATCTTTCAAGCTAGCGCCCGAATACAAAGTACGTCTCTCACCGATTCCAGATATCTTCTATTTCGTCAATGGTGTTCCGAGACCCTCCTCCCAGGCCATTGAATAGATGGTTTGTTATCGCTCCCCTGACTTCCTGCCGATGAATCCTTCGCCGTGACTCTCTATATCGATCTTGCCATCCCAGAAAGCCATTGTGTTACCCGTGGTTTTGTCGTCCTTTCCTCTTCGGATTTAATGACTCCGCTATCTTCATACGGACTGCTTCGTTCCTCGTTTCGTTCAATTTCCCTTACGATCGAGTTCAACACAATTTTTTTCAAATATTCCGCGCGAACACGTTTCGTGGGAAAACTCGTTCAATCGTCAAATCGACACGCTTGTTACATATTTATTTTCGATTTTAACTTGCTCCGTTTGAGCCGCCTGGTTTACACAACAGCTGATACAGCAAGCGAACTGTTCCGTGTGCCGCTTCACACGTTGATTTCGACTACTGGGCCCTAAGGGAGAGAGAACCGACATTGTGGAAAATCGTAATACGCTGACTTTGACTACTTGCACCGAGAGAGGGAAACCTCTGCCAAAAGTTGTTTCGAAGTAATCGTGTTATGTGTATATTGGCTTTAACTGTCGGTGCTTCGAAGCGTGCGTTGCAATGCTGGCAATTTGTATTACCTGTATTATTGCAATGATTTTTCATTTTATTTGAGAAGGGAAAACACTCGTAACGTTCGACGAACTTTGGTTAACGTCGTATGTACCTGATGAATTGTAAAGCAATTACCATACGCTGGTTATTCTCGAAATGCTGCTCGATATTCTATTAATCGGTTGCCAGGTAATCTCCACTCATCAAACATCCTTAATCATACGATTGGAAATGGTACACACCGGTAAATCCATTCGCGATCATTTGCGTTTCATGTCGCGTATATTCCTTCGTACGAACACTACCGACCGTGTCGTTTTAGCACAATTAAACAAAACGGAAATCGAGGTAACTAGCTGTGAGTTTCCGGTCCTACCTCCCCCGCGAACCTCCTTCGATACGCGCAAGTATGTGTATCTGTACGTTGTGTGCTCTTTCAAATCGTAAATCTTCCGTCTCTGCAAACAGCGTCATTTTTTCACAGTGAACTCGAAACCGTTTCTAAAAGTTAGAGTTCCAGCGCAATTTCGAACGTTAACCGTTCCTTGTATTTGAATTAACCGAACTTGCAATTTCCACCGTGACATTTGTAAATTAAACGCGTCCAAATTCCACACATTTTCGAAGTTCAAACACCAATACCGACTTGAATTTTCGAAAATCTGAAACTTTCCCGACGGCATGACCGAGAGTTTGCGTGATTAGAGTGTGACGAGCAATCAACATCTACATCTACATGTTACATGTACATCGTCGAGTTGCATGTCGTCTATTAAATCGTCCGATTCCCTTCGTAATTTCGAAACGTTGGTGCGTTGGCGAATGTTAAAACCGTTAAGAAGAAGAGAAATTTATGTTAACTCAGTTAACTCGTCGTAAGGTAAATCTCAGTCAAACAGTAACATGAAATTCGCGGTGGCTTATCCAATAATGTGTCACGTGATCGAATCCCCCGGGCAACACTGACGTAGTCCCGATGGGTGGGCTACATTTGCGTAAATAATTCTACAGTGATAGGATAATCAATGCACGGGGATTACGATCTACATACATCGTTAGTTTGTTACTGGGGATATTAGTTTCCAGGTGGTACCGCGCGTGCAAATGAGCACCAAGGGCTGCGAAACGATAGAAACGTAACGACTTGCGAGAATACGTGCCGCGAAGTCTAATTACATATCTCGACTCATCTGCGAGACGGGAATCGTGCGTCCGAACTTCACTTTGTTTCAGCTGGCGTGTTATTTTGATTCAGATGTAAGCTCGATTCACAATCGCATCGTCCAGTTTCTGTAAATTGAGTGAAATTCGTGAAAATCATTTTACTTTCAGTTAGTTGTAATCGAATCGTGTCGGATAAATTTCGACTGGTATCTAACTTCGATCCAGCGCTCGTTTGCCTTACCGCAAATCGTATTGTCATCCCCATTAGCTGAACAAGTAATTTATCGATGGCCTGTCAGCCGTGCGTTTAAGATATCGATAATTTTACACACCGTATTAAACCGATTCGTAGGCTTTCGCCCTAAATATCAACGGCGCTAACATGCGTGACAATATTGTGTACGCGCTTCTTCGCTTTAATTACTTTCCGATAATACTTCTACAGTCAAACACAAAATTACTCGCGCAATGGAGACTATGACAAAAATTTTATAAAAGACAATATTCGTAATACAGATTTTTTGGAAACTTGGAATATTTTGTTGCTGTTGGAATAGTTTGCTATTGTCGAGAGAACGAATGTTAATTACTTTTATTACTTTTTATTTTTATGTAACAAATCTGATTGGTGAGAAAAAATGTGTTTCTTACGAGATATTAATCTTTTCAAAATAATAATTTCTCCAAAGTTTTCCAAATTTTTCGTTGCCTTCTTTTTATAGAAAAATGTTGAAAGTGTATTTTCTCATTTAGAGAATGTATTTTACTGTTCTTTTTACTTTATACATTATATTATCGACTAATAATTTTTGTGACTTACTGTACGTAATTTTTATCGTTCTTTTCAGTTAATAATGTATATAATCCAATTATCTGTTCATTCTGTTATCACCGAGTCGAATTTAATAATGGACAACGCTTTCCGTTCCTTGATTCTGATTGAGCGTGTCGTTTCAATTTTTCTTCTGTTTTCTCGATGTATTTCCGTGCCTTTTTTCCGGTCGTGCGCATTCATTATGTCCGGCTCTGCCAGTGACTCCGAATTAATGGACCGATGCTACATGTTTCAAACGACAAGCTTGCTTTAGATCGTGGATAAATTATCTCCAGGTTTCAGTGCTTTTTCAAACGTTTCAATGCCTTTTGAAAAGATTTTTGAACACGCCGAATGTAGTTGGCCAAATAAACAACAAATAGCTTACAGATAATTGTGCAGGTTACTGATCAAATAACAAAGAACAAATTTATTTCAGTGCTAAATAAATAGTAAATTTTTCCGCGATTGTTGTTGCATGCATAAATCTTTATTCATTGACAAACTAGCCACGCGTCATCGCGCTAATTACACAGTACCTTTAATGCACGTGTTTCACTTTCTGTTACAGGCCACCAGCTACGCAACACGACGTGCAAACACCACCTTAGAGCCCTTAAACCAGCTTAATCCTCTACATGCCTTTCACGCCTCCTTAATGTCGCTTCAACTCGCACGCTACGGTTGTTGGCCCATGTGTGGTTCTCTCCACGCTCCGGATGCTCAATTATGCCATGTTACCGGATAGTAACAACCACGTTTAACAAGCGAATATTTTTGACAGTATCTTTGGTGATCAAAATTTCCATCGGCGAAGGTAAATGGAGGATAGTAGAGCGGCTAAGTGTAGGCAAAGTTGTTCCTGAGTTTCTAAGTTCTTCTGGTTAATATAACGTGTAATGTGGAAGCTCTTGAACCGCCGGAGCGGTTGTTACAAGACGATGCAATCACGTAAGGGAAACTGGGACAAGCTGACAAGTATTCCAGTTTTTAATTTTAGCAATTATTTAGAAGGTCGAATTAATTACTTACTTTACTTCGGTATCCCCAATTCTGTAATTCCAAAAGAATATTCTAACAGATATTCTGAGAGAAACTTTGAGAAAGAAATGTACAAAGCAAGTTGGAAAATGTTTATTTGGTGATATTAAAATGCTACACTGCTGGGGAGCCATTGATACATATGTATGTGAAATAATTATTAATATGTAATTATCTAAAATATATTATTTTTATTATGTTGTTCTATTATATTATAGTATAATTATAGTATAATATAATATAATATAATATAATATAATATAATATAATATAATATAATAATTATAGTATAATATAATTAAAGTTAAACAGAATTTAGTTGACAGAATGGATAATGAAAAGTGAATTACTTTCGAAATTTGTAACAATTAATACATAATTAAGAATTGTTGCATCTTATGTGACTCAATTTTATACGCGGTATGCATTGAATTCACTTTGCATACAAAGAATCCGTACATTGTATCAACTCATTTTACAAGAAGTTTCCTCTAGGTAAATTTCTATAAAAAAAAAAAAAAAAAATGTAGAGCATGTGTAGGAAATCTAATTGCCTTGTTTTCAAACAACGAGATGTCACACTGTTCATATAAAATTTTACATGTCGTCTCCAGGCAGGAGAAATCGACACGAATATTTTACTTCTCCTCTATGAAGCCGGAAATAATTGAATAACGGATACTAACGGGTATTCGTCGTGTTACATGCAGTCTGTCACAATAAACAGTTAAACAATGAATTTCACACGTCTCGTGCTGATCAAACTTCATGTGGCCAGTGTCTAGATAATTTCACTGTATCAATTTGTCCCAGTATTAATTTACCTCTGCGTTAATTTCCCTGCCGAGTATTACGTGCTCATTTCAACAAAATTGTCTGCATGGTCGAAGTGGAAAAAAAAAAAGAAAAGTGTATTCATTCGTTGGAATATGGCGGCAGCGGTTGTCATTGAAGGTGACGTGTCATTACGTTAATAGCACAGGAATAATTTACGTAGGCACGAGAAGCGCGTTCAAGACTTCTGATACAGTCTCGACGCTTTGAAAACTTTTCAGACTGGCGACGCTTTGAAAACGTAGCCTAAACGTTGGTGCGGTTTAATCATTGAAACGACCAGCTAGAAAAAAAATCGTCGAAATATTTGTTCTTTTACTGCACTCGATGCGAGGCTGTAAAATAATGTTGCGTCAGACGCATTCGGTAATTATCCACGCTTAAACCGCCCCCTCCTCCCTCCCGATCGTTAAGCCACACGTTCGCTGTCGCGTCACGATACGTAACATTCGTGTAACGTGACGTGCAAACACTAGGTTAGCTGCCTTAAGCTTGCACCAAGCTGTACAAGCTTTCCGTGTCTCCTCGGTGCCGCTACAGATCATATGTTACATGTTACTTCGGCCGGAAACCAGCCACGGAATTACATCTACAGTTTCTCGAAACCTCTCTCTCTCTCTCTATCTCTCTATCTCTCTCTCTCTCTATCTCTCTAGTGTCTGACAATCACGGGCAAAGGTGTATTTATGCACGTGTGTTTACCTATTAGCTATGTGTCGGCGTGGCCGCTTTGCCAGTCGAGGCTGCGATTATTGGTTCATCTCGGTGATCATTCGTTGCCGCGTCGTTGAATATATCGATGGGGAATTGCACCTCGAATGCTGGAATGTATTTTATTTTTTCGTAGTGAAACAGGTTTGTCGAAGGTGAAGCGTGAGGGAGGTAAAGAGACGTGACAGAGAAGAGAAAGAATAAGAAACAAGAGAGAAAAGAGAAGGGAAGGAAAAGAAAACAGAGCAGAGAGACAGGCGAGGAGAGACAGGAAAGTAAAAGAAAGAAAAGAAGAGAATCCTTAATATATACTTGTAGTTCCGCTCGTTTAAGCAGGAAGTAGACTCTTTGAGCTACATGGCATTCTACTCTATATTTATCAGTTAAATAAAAAAAATCTTAGCACGGTCGTCTCTTTCATTAAAAACAATTTATGCCATGCGAATATCCTTTTGTTGTCAAAATTGTCTTCTACAGCAGTTTAATCATTATAATATAATTATTACGATATTACAACTAAATTGTGTTCCATGCACTGAAGATTTTGATAAGAAAAATTTGTTTTGTACGACGCGCGTCAATGGACAATGACTTATATATATATATAATATTATTACAATAATATGATATAAAGTAACGTGATAATTATTCGAAATAACCGCAAATTATACGAAAGAGAAACGGATAATTTTCTAGAAACGAAGGTGGTTACTCGGCAAATCGTGTATCGTGATAATAATTGGTTAAAGAGGTCGGCGGATCGGGCCACAGGAACCGGAAGGCACGCGAAACTTCGTTGCTCTGCTTATTAACTTATTGCATCTTCTAAGTTCCAGCTAAACTGATATTAATTACTGTACTCTCCGGAACTCTAACTTCGCCTGGCTTGTTGTCGCGTTAGCCCCTTTTCCCCGACCTACTTTCAAATTTCTCCCCCTTTTATTCCGCGCCTTCAACTTCTCGCGCCACCCTTCTCAAACGACCCTTCTCACTCGCTTTCGAGAGTCATTCAAGATTTTCCGCTACAACCGGGGCGACGTTGCAACGAGAAAAGGGTTGCAATTTACAATTGCGCAACGATAATCGCGCTATCAATTGAAAACGGGCAAACAACGACGGTGTCTGGAAATTTCGTCGTCGATGTTAATCCGATCTTTTCGCTTACAAAATCGCGTGAGCGCTGTGTCGGCTTCGCTTTTATATCTTGTTGAATTACAATATATAATATTGTAGTGTAAACGCCATACGATGGGGTGTAAAGGAAAGCTGAAGGACGCTGCGAAACCGCAAAACCAATAGCAGCGTGCAAGCGTCTTTTCTCACCGTGAAAATATTTCCCACTAGACGCGCTTCTCCAAGAGTCTTATATACGATCGGAGACCGAGCACGAGTAAACATGATTCTCGTTCTCCGACCAGTACGTCCCTGGAGATGAACGAAAATACGGTGGATCCTTAACACGGCGGACAAGCCGTTAAAACTTGTCGCGAACAACTGATTTGTACCACGGACACGACCATCAATTCTGGAATCATAGATACATATGTGCTGTACGCTTGGTCGCACGTAGACTACAGATATTAATCTGCGAACGCAATTGTTTCCGGGGTTGTTTATTACTAGAAGAAATATTTCGAGCGAAGGTCTCTCGATTTTCGAGAAGCTAGTTTGTTTGTAAGATGGATGCGACAATATAATAATTCAAGCATTAAAAAAAGTACTGTTTTAACAACGAGTAAAGTATCATTTTAATTCTCTATAAAAAAAGACTATTGTTTTAATAGATATTTTGACTTTGATTTTCCAATTGTGAATGATGTATCATGTGTTATGTCTTGTCTTTTGTATATAGTGAATCTTAAAAAATAACTAATTTTTGGTTTAATAACTGGTTTGATATAAATACATTTTCACAGAGGATGCGGAGATGGATCGATTAACGTAAAAGTCTTGTCTAAGAAAATGAAATTGATCTTCGTAACTCTTGTATTTTATGCTTGCAAACAAATTAACCACATCGAAACCACCAAAATCAGCTGAGTTTCGTTGGAAACACTTTTTTCAACAACGAACGGTTGTGAAAATAGTTTTTATTTAAGAATTGAAGGAAATCAAAATTACATATACAGAAACGCCATAGTTAGGATATTGTATCAATCTTAACTAGTGGGTGGAAGCTCTTTAACAAACTGCTAAAAATCCTGTTGATCTATTTGTGGAGATTCCAGTTGGAAAAAGAACAACGTTACGTAGAAAAAGCGAAGCGAGAGTTTGAAAAAAAAAAAGTTGCTCCTCTTCGTACACCTTGGTACTGTTTCTATCTCGAAAATCTCGTTCCACGAAATTAGCTGATGTGTACCGTACACGATGACAAATGTATCAGCGAATTTCAATCAGGAAGATTTCGACATTAATTCCAGTGCGTCGGCTATGTGCGAGGTATGTAATAAATTCGTTTTCCGGGCTCCGGTATCGACACAATTTTCATCCTTCGTCTGAAATACAGTGCCTGTACGCACGGTAAAATAAACGTTCCGTGCGATTTTCACTGCACGATTGATCCGTGATTCCATTGATTCGACTCTCTGAATGCGACACGTTGAAATAACATCCACTACCACTACTGATTCAACTGGATACGCGGAATGGTATTATAAACCGTTAACTATTTCTTGTTGGACAAAGGATTAAATTAACGGAGCGTGAATGGAAAATATTTGCAACTTTTTAGAGTAAAGAAAGAAAGAAAGAGAGAAAGAGAGAGAGACAAAGGGAGAAGAAAAGTAGAAAATAGAAATGTAAATTTGATTTCAAACAGCTATTACATTACGACTTATGAACGGAATTTCACGTTACCGGATTTACCATTTGCGTTACGTTTGTTTGAAATAAAATAAAAAGACACATCATTACCCTTGTCACTTATGTAAAAAAAAACACACAGTCATAGTTCGTTTGTTGATCGACAGGCGAATATTTTTATTATGCGTATTTCCGCAAGTTATTTCACGGATACATCCATGCGGAATAAGTAAACAGTTTAAATCATCGTCGAGCGCGGGGCCAGTTATCTCGGAATTTTACATCGCGTCGAGAGCGTTTTATTGCACGCCCGTGTAAATTCGTCGTTTCGCCCGATTTTAATGGCCCTCTAGAAAATATAAATTACGCTCCTCGATCGTGGCCATATAAATTCCAACGCGGCCTCTAACGCGGATCATTTGTTACAAAACCCTCCCCCTCCGCCACGATAATACGTCAATATTATTAAATTCTATTAATTGAATAATTAATTCGCTAATTACTTGACGTCAGACATTAGCAACACGGCAGTTTACAATGCGTAATTCGATTTTGTTAATTACGTTTCCCGAGAAACGCGTCGCTGTCGAGAAATTTCACGGATAAATTCATCGATTTGTTTACTGGGGATAAATCTCGTTAAATAACGGACAGGAGATTTTAATGAAAGCCGAGCAAAAAGAAGCGCGACGACTGTCAGAAAGATTGATGCGTGACGTGATATTTTGTTGTCTGAATTCAATTTAAACGAACGAACTCGTCCCGTTCTCGGCCTTTCTCTGGAA